GCCAGGGGAACATGTGCCGGGGTTTGAGGGGGGACTTGGGCATGCGGAGGTTTGAAGGGAGGGAACTTAGACAGCAGGATCGTCTCTGTCGGGGACGTCTTGATCTGATTTTGCAGGGACAGCCTGGATATTGGAGACCTTTAAGAATCCCGAGAGATTTTGTGGCTCCCCAAAATGACAGTGGTGAGTAATTACTACATAGTCTATCTTCCCTCCTAATTATGGGATGCCGCCTGTGTATTACAGGTTAGGGTAGTATCTGGTTCCATTAGGAAAATAATGCTTAGAAATTATACACATTTTTAAAACCTTCTATTTTAATCCCCATGGGATCTTGTCCTTCTGCCTTCAAAGGGGTATTATCGCTTTTAAAAACGTACAGTTGCTTGGTTTCCACTGCTCATTTCCAGTTTGTGGCACCGTGGTTCTCCCTTCTTTCCCTACCGAGAGACCAGCGGACTCTTCCCCCCCTCCTCTGATGAAGCTCCTGGAGGACTCGCTGTATAGTCCGCTTCCCGAATGCCAGCCTGCCTTCAGCCTTAGCTCTCTTTTAGGGTGGCTGCCTCTTTTCACTTATTTGCAAGCCTCTAGAAATGCAGCCTCGGGGGTTTTTCTACCCCACTTTCCCAAAAATAAAGTATGAGGGGATACGTTGTAAGATTTGGCACTTAACTTCCCATATTTTTTTTTTTAAGATTTATGTACTTAGAGACAGAGAGAGAGAGAGAGAGTAGGTGCAGCAAGAGAGAGAACCTTCAAGCAGATGATTCCCCACTGAGCACAGAGGCCGACGTGGGGCTCCATCTCACCACCCCGAGATCATGACCTGAGTTGAAATCAAGAGTCAAGATGCTTAACCAACTGAGCCAGCCATGCACCCCCAGAGTACTCTTTACATTTTAAAGATACTGTTTTGTTACATCCGAATAATTGTTTATAACTCTTCTGTTTAAATCACGGTGTGAGTTCTGGCTTCTGATGAGCCCCAGACTGATTAACCACTGTTCTCCTCGGTGCCTAGCACAGCGAACACCACACACAGAGCTCTCCACGCATCCTTGCCTCCCTTCCCCAGCTAGCCCTGAATAATTGATCTCGGACTTGCTCAAAATCAAAGCGTGTCTCAAAGACAAGGTCCCCAAACCAGACCACACTTCCTCTCATGTCTGATCTCATCAACTACTTGCCTGTTAATTAATGACATTTCTGAGGACTGGCTGGGTAGCCTATGGGGACCCTCCCTGGTTTGCTCATTTACACTCAAAACCAGAGAACTACTGCCAGCCTGGCCCCTGAAGGCTTCAGGTCAATTAATTTACTGCCTTTGGTTAAAAAGAAGGATTTTCATTTACATATCTGGCCCCTAGAATCAGAAATCTTCGGGGGACTGATTATTCCTCCAGTGCCCAGTAAGACTGAGAAGACACCAAGGCAGGGGAACTGCATTTCCAAGGCACAGGGACTTCTATAATGGTACAACCACTCCAGTGCTGTTTTTTTAACTTTGGGGGGAAAAAGTATGCCCATTAAACCAGAAAGGGTAAAGTAAGCACGTTAACCAAGGAAGTGAAATCTGAAATAAGGAGAAATTAAACACGAAGCTTTCACTTTTCAGGCCGAGTCCTGTTCTGTCCAACAGCCTTGGCACACCAGGGATGTGGATGAAAATGTGCTTGGACACTTACACTTAACTTTAAAGTTTAAGATTTCTTTGATGTTTTTCACCCCACACCAAAAAGCATGTTTCTTCTTAAAAGTAAAGGGAAGGCAAAAGCTACATCTTACTGGTGCTCATTGAAAAAAATCTTTGAAAAAGAAGAACAGCCAGAAGACAGACTACTGAACCTGAGATGTTTATTAAGCTGCAACAAACTTGACACTGGATTCTGACATCAAAATCAGCAACTGGGTGGACGGACCAGAGCAAAGAGTTCGAAACAAACTAGCCGGAGAGGGAGGGCAGATTTTCACCAGAGCTCCTTCAGCAGGGGGAGAACAATCTCTCAACAAATGAGTCTGGGACCACTGGACACCTGTTTGCAGGAGGAAGAACGAAAGCTTTGATAGATCCCTCGTAGCATATTAAAGAAACAAACTGAGGGGCATCTGGGTGGTTCAGTCGGTAAAGCATCTGCTTCCGCTCAGGTCAGGATCCCAGCGTCTTGGGATCAAGTCCTGCTTCGGGCTCCCTGCTCAGCATGGAGTCGGTTTCTCTTCTCTCTCAGGCTCCGCCTGCTTGTGCTCTCTCTCTCTCACATGCTTTCTTTCTCTAATTAATAAATAAAATCTTTAAAAAGAGAGAGGGAAGCCCAGCCAGACCTGGAGAAAATATTTGCAAACCACACACCTGATAAAGGATATGAATTCACAATTTATAAAGAACTCTCAAAATTCAGTAAGAAAACAAAACAACCCAATCAAAAATGGGTTAAGATTTGAACAGATGCTTCATAGAAGATACACGAATGGCATGGAAGATGAAAAGATGCCCAAGGTCATCAGTCATTAGGAAATGCAAATTAAACCCCCAGTGAGATCTTAATACGCATGTATTTGAAGGGCTAAAAACAAAACAAAACAAAACAAACAATACCAGATGCTGGCAAAGATATGAAGGAACTGGAGGTCTCAAACTCCACTAGAAGTTCTACCACTTTGGAAAAGTTTGGCAGTTTCATTTAAAAAAAAAAACAAAAATAGGGGGACGTTGCTGGCTCAGTCAGTTAAGCGTTTGCCTTCGGCTCAGGTCATGGTCGTGGGGTCCTGGGATCGAACCCTGCGTTTGGCTCTTTGCCCCGCAGGGAGCCTGCTTTCCCTCTCCCTCTGCCTGCCGCTCCCCCTGCTTGTGCTCTCTCTCAATCTCAAATAAATTAAATCTTTTAAAACAAAAACAAAAAACCAAGAAAAAGAAACCTAAAAAAAAAACCCTACCATGTAATCATTCTACTCCTGTGTATTCACCTAAGAAAAATGAAAGTGTATGTCCATATACACATCTGTATTGAAGAGTCATATAAGCTTTTATTGTGATAGCCCCAAATTGGAAACACTAAAATGTCCCCAACATACGAATGGCTGAGCACATCGAGTTATACTCGTGCGATGGAACACTATTTAGGAATAAAAACGGATAAGCCACTGATATGTACAGTGACAAGTAATGATCTTTACAATAATCATGCTTAATGATAGAAGCCAGGCCCAGAAAAAGGACACACTGTACGACTCTATACAAAATTGTAAGAAAACACAAACTCGTCTGGAACAACAGAAAGGAGAAGAGTAGTTGCCTGGGCATGTGGAGGCAGGAGGGAGGGAGATGGGACAGGAAAGTGGAAAGGGTAGGAGGAAAAGATTACAAGTGGGCACACGAAGAAACTTGTGGGGGTGACAGAGACTCACCATCATGACTGAGGTCATGGCTTTAGAAGTGAATGCAGGTCAAAAGTCACCAAATTAATCACGTTAAATATGCTCCGTTTTTGTAGGTCAATTATACCTCAAAATAAAGCTGTTATAAGACCTAAAATTGATATCCTGTATGGATTATGTTGTTAAAACTTTGGGGAAAGTCTTTTCTTTCAACCCAGAAAGGTTGATTCAAGTCCCTGAGCAGCATTCACAATGAGCTGGCTTTGTATGCGCAGGGTGCCACTGTGGGAAAACAAACAACAACACACCCAGAAATTCTTCCTTTTACAAAAGGAGAATGACAGGGGCTCGTCCATTCATATCCTGCAAGCCCAGTTCTGATGTGTTCTGTTTCCCGAAGCCTTTCCTTATCACTCAAGTAGAAAGTGATCATTCCCTCCTGTGAATCACTGTAACACTTAAGTTAATTTTCAGATATTAGTTGAGTGCATTTCTCCAACCACTCATCGCACATTTATTAAATGATGCATCTGGGCCCAACACTGGCTCAGGGCTGGGAATACGGAGTGAGTCGGGCACAGTTCTCCACCTGCAAGAGCCTCATAGTCTACCAGCAAAAGACTTGAAGTGACAGTAACACACGATAACACTTGTTTCCACAAACATATGAAAGTACAACAGGAACCCAGAGAAAGAAATTCACGCTGTCAGACACATGGTCTTGGGTCTCAGTGACGGGCTTCCCTCCAGACTAACACCCCCCAAGAGTAAGGGACCATGACTGACTCACTCGAGTCACCCACTGAATCACCCGCACAACACCCGGCCCGCGGGTGTTGGCGTTTGTATAATTCCTTGAGTGAATGGAAATTCCCTTTCCCAGGCAACCGCTCTGACTAGAAGGCAGGGCCACCATGTTGCCCACTCGGCAATGGAGTCCCAACCTTTATCTGCTTTGCCCAGCGAAGCAAGTCATTTGACTCTGGGTTCCCCCAAATCCCAAAGGAAGAGCTGATACCCATTTTGCCGGTGAAGAAAACAGGAAGGAGCTAGGGGTGCGCTGGGTGGGGCTGGCTCAGCAGAGTCCAGGACACCAGAGGGATGCAGGTGAATCGAGGTCCCGCAGTGGGTGTGAGGGGGGCCCTGGCGCTCGGGATTGTGACCCCCAGATATTCCTCTGCCCAGGGAGCACATATCTAACCTCTGAGGAATCCTACCGGTCTCCTGAAGGCAATTTCTAGAGATTATACGTGTGACTTTCTGCGTTCCCGGATCACAAACCCTTTATCTGCGCTCGGTTTCTGAAGGCGCAGGGGTGAACAGATAGGCAATTATAAAATTTCAGTCAAGATAAAACTAACACGAGCTGGAAAAGTCTCAAATGACCACCAAAAGATGAGGACTAAACACCAAGCAGAAATCCTCCTTCGTTTCTAGATAGTGCAATTGAGCCTAAGAAGCATTTCCCTCTTAGCCTGAAAGATAACGTGGATGTGCTTCTTGTACTTACTTACATGTATAGAAACAGCAGGTCCAGAAGGGAAGAGCAGCAGAAATTTAGTTGAATTTATCTGGCCCCACCAGCCCGACAGTTCCAGGGGCCAGCAGGCGGGGGACGGGGCTCTTACCTGTAGATGGGGTCCTGCATCACCAGCATCTTGCTCTCATCCCACGTCCACTCCTTTTTCTGCAATAAAAGAAGCTGTAAATGAATAAGTTAGGCTTGTCCTTCGCTACAGAACCAGGGCACACGTAAGCTACTAATGGTTACGCAAACACATGCGTCTGTTCCTGGCCTGACTTCTGAGAGGCCTGGGGCTAAGGGTTCCAAAGGACAAGTGGGAGATGTCCTGTCTAGTCTAGGCAGCTTCCTCGAGCACTTTAAGGAGAGTCTCCCTCCGAGACACACAGGGCAGGTGGGAGCCAAGGCTGCCACCCCTCCGAGGACCACAAGTGGACTCCAAAGCAAAATTTCACGGAGAGAACACCAAGGGGAGAAAAAGAGACTGCACGTCACTCCAGAGGAGTGGAAGCAGGAGGAGGAACACATGGGAGGAGGCAGAGCTGTGGGAAAGCCAGCTCCCATCCCCCTTCCTTAGAGGGGAGCGGGTGGTACCCCCGCCTGGCGAGGTTATTAGTACATTGTAGCTACCCAAGAGGACAGTCCTGATGCCCGTGAACCTAACTGTGAGTGCCAAGGAGATCCCAGGGCAGCTGGGCATGAGGACAAGGACAGAGGGTTTGGGGCTGTCCTAGAGACCCCAGGTGCTTGATGAGGTGAGAAGCACCCCCGGGCGTTGAAGAAGCACCAGGACAGCAGCCGCCACATCCTCCCAGGCCTCCCCCCCCAACCCCCACCACCAGGTGCAGGGACAGGGACCTCTGCCGCACCTGCACTGGCCTTGGCCACAGAGGTAGGGCTGTCCAGGACAACCGGGGAAGAACACACTCCTCCCTCCATGAAAGAGGGTCAAGCAGAGTGAAGGCAAGAATGCCTTTGTGGACTCCATGGCTGTTTCGTGAGTGCTCTCTGCACCCAGGGTGGTGGCCCTCCAAGCACCGGGGTGGAAAGACAGGCCTCCGCCAGGGACCGGGGGAGACCCTGTTCAGGCCCTTCAGAGACATGAAGCAGCATGTGTCCAGCAGCTTTGCTCACACACAACCCTGGACGTGCCCAGCAGACAGCACTGCCTACGCGGGCCGCTTCCTCTCCAAAGTCTGAGTCAATCCTAATCCGGCCCACAGAGGTGGCCTGTCGACGGGCTTACAAGCATTCAACACCGACGCTGTCTCAGACAAGAAAACTCTGCTTCAAGAACTAGTTTTTCAAAAATTGCCTTCCTGGAATGGCCACGCTCGGCCGTGCGAGATTTTCATGTACAAATGGCCCATTCAGCGCAAACACTGAAACAAGGAGCCTGCGTCTTTTTCTCAACGAGACCCCTCCAGATGTAGACATACAGCCAGGCCAGGCCCTCTTCTTCATACTAAATCATCCCCGGCTTAGCAGAGTCCTCACCAGACCAGGCTTCTAGACTTCTCGCAACCCTAGCTGACCTTGTCTGTACCCATCCCATTTGCCAGCGTCCCCCTTGAAACCTGGTCCTCTGGCCTGAATCCCTTACTGATTCATAGGTGGTCGGATTGGCAGAGACACGTCCATTTCTGCATTCCAGGGCTGATACTCTTAGCCCAGCAAGGACTAGTGGATCATATTTCCAGCAGCCCTATACGCGCCTACTGGCACACATGGGGCTTCCACTGCACACACCTAGGTTTTTCCAAGGCAAAGTGACTCATCATTTGGATGCCTGTGTTAAACATGCAGTATAAATGTTCACCCTGGGAGTCCTTCGAACAGCAAAACAGATTTCAAACATGGCTTGATTTGGGGCAACTTGTAATATAAATACTAAATAATTAAATATTATTATGAAATCACATTTCTATTTATGGGCACGTATTCCTGCCCGGTCTTAATTCAGTTCAGTTAGCAGCGTGTGGAGAGAGAGCACGTCTGCTCGCTGGTGAGCCCATTCACCTGGACCGTATTTCAGCAGTTGTAGGTTTTAGTGCTATTATTTCCATTTGGGTCTTCTTTCTTCTCTTTCTACTGAGTCTTTCTACTTCTGTGTCAAGAGTGTAACTGCTCATGGAAGGATCTTTGTGACGGCGCCCTAATATCCTTGTCAGATAATTCCAACACCTGTCATCTCAGTAGTGCCATCTCTTGACTCTCTTTTTACGCATTTGAGATTTTCCCCATTTCTGGTAGAGAAGTGCTTTTTGATTGAAACCTCAACATTTCAGAAAATACTTTTAGAAGGGATACCCGGCACCCCTAGTGGATATCTTGACCAAAAAATAAACAACTTTCCACCTACTTACTTTCCTTTTCTGAAAATTGCATTAAAATCTGGTCCAATCCCTTCATAGATTTTGTAGGAATCATTGCACGTGTCCATTAAATTGATGAAGGGATCAGAAAATTACCAAGATAAGTCAAAGGACCTGGGGCAAAGTGTACACTTCAATATCCCTTCCAGGCCACCATCTTTCAAATTATACCCTGAGCCGTGCAGAGACCGCAGCATGGTGTCCCCTAGTTTACAGCCTGGTCAAGATGAGAGCTAAGTTCTGATTTATAAACCAGTGACCATTCTCTGAGCATCAGTGCGGGACCATCAACCGCATGCCTCAGAGGGAAGCCCGGTGGACCTAAGGAACGATGTCTTCTCTCTTGCTCTGAAACCATTTCACAGACCTCCTCTTTTTCAAATGTTCCAGAGGAAAAAACAAAAACAAAGACCACACACACGAATCACCCTCTTCTCGCTTTTCTACACAGAAATAAATATTCTTTGAAGGGAAAAATTTTAGGGAAAAAAAATGTTCTTAATAAGAGAAGGAAAACAGGAAGAGAAACGAATGACCTACTGCCGCCATGCAGTTAGGCATCAAAGTTGGCTTCAACCATGGGACAGCGACGTTATTAATGAAGACTACGTACAGCCAGACTTAGTTTCACCGGCTCCAGAAGCTCACACAGCTCCCGCTCCTACCTGAAACCATTTCCTGTTTAAATGCTTAGAAATAAAGATCTCGGGAGTCTTGGAAGCTGCATGAGGAAATTTTTAGTGTTGCTACTACTGTCCTGAATGGGCTATAGTCTCCGAGACAGACCCAACAATGAAGACATTTCAAGTCCAGATGGGAGTGCAGTGGAGAAGCAAGGGGAAGACAGGAGGGAAGGAGAGGGGTGCACACACAAAGCTGTCACCCCTCTCTGAGGCAGAGGGCACCTCACAGTCATGTTTACTGCTAACAGGACGACCAGCAGGACAGAACGAGCTGGTCCTCAGCCTCCTTCAGCCTCAGGTCCAGGCTCAGGCGGGGCCTCCCCAGCACCACGGAGAGTCCGCGTGGTGACAGTGAGGCCCATCAGCGAGGCCCGGGGAGATGGAGAGCGAACCCCTCATCGGCTCCGCAGACAGAAAGGAACGGGAGTGGATGGGGAGTACCACAGGGGAACTTCCAGCCTTCTGCCAGACTCCCACCCTGTACGTGTATAATCATGTCCCTCTGCACCTGCCAAGGACACTCAGCATTGTTGAGCCTTCAGGAGGCCTCTGAACTAGAGCTTACTAACCTGTCTCTGTGCCTTTCCTTCCCTCACGTCTCCCTTCCTGTGAATTCCTCACGCCAAGGTAATTTTAAAAATCAACACCAATAGAGCAGCTTAACTTGATGGAAGGCTCTGCGTCACATTACTGGCTTGTCAAAACTTCCTGGAGAGAGAAAGCTGAATGTGCCCCAAGACCTCCAATTACAGGGAGTAAGACCACGGGTCCCGCCTGGGGCATTCTGAAACCCACCATCAGTGTGCTGAGGGACCTGCTTCGGGACGCCCCCAGCTAAGGAGTGTGCAGGGACACCCAGAGCAGGTCCGTCCCTGGCAGCCATGGGAGGCCCTGCACCTGGCCTTGGCTCCAGGACTCCCTGACAGCCTTGCCACAGCTTCCTCAGAGCCTCCATCTTCCTCACCGCCATCTAAGAGACTGTCTCCCACCCTTCTCTCCTGTCCTGCTCTCTCCTTCACCTGGAAACAGCCCCACACTGAACTGTGAGAGCTAACCGGCCTCGCCCAGGGCCTCCCCACCTTCTCGAACAGGCACTGAATCCCGTCTTGGCATTTGGTTTTTGGAGGACCTAGAATAACACAAAGTGAGAAAGAAAAGATACAGGCAAGTCATTTTTAGCTGCTTCCTTTTCTATTCTCACAAAAAAACTCCAGCGGATACAGAAGAAAAGTCTTCCTTTCATTTAATAACGTTTCTACAATACTTCCTTCATGTTTTCAGCATTGATCACAACCTTAAAAGATAAACACTAAGGCTCAGAGACATTACTCCCCCCCGCCCCCCCGCCAAGTTCACCTAGCACAGTGGTAATGAAACCCAACTCGTACGCCTCCATGCCCCACGTTCTCCTTGTCACTCCAAGTGATACAATCAGAGAAAGTCAGTCTCCACCGCCTGCAAATAGTAAAGGGCTTGCAGACCACGGAATGGGAGAAGCGTGTCCTTTATCTAATGAGTGCAAACGGCCAGTCCTCCAGGGAAAGTTACAGCCATTCTGACATTCCAAAAATCTGCCGGCAGGGAATAGGATGTGGGAACTGGGTCAGAGATAGGACTGCCTGGAACAGTGCCAAGAACAGGAGAGCGAGTTGGGATAATTATCCTAGCTGTCCTGTCTCCTCTTCGAGCCCAGAAATGGATAAGGCATCTTCGAAGCTCTTCCCCAGGAACCCAAAAGGGGAGGAAGAATTTGTATTGGCACTGACTCCCTAGACACACCACGGAGTGTGTGAGCTTTACCGTTATCCATGCTCCTGGCAGCAGTGGAAACTTCTTATAACATAACACAACACAACCTTGCAAGGGCCTTATTAACTCAGCTTGACAAGTTCTCCATGTTTCCAGACAGAAAAGGATTAGTCTGAAAATAGAGCAATCCCTCATCTTCAGACATCACCTATGGATACAGGTAACACATTTCAAAACCACAGTGCTCATAAATCCTCACACAATGTACATAATTCCTAATGTGCATGCTTTAAAATGAGCAGACGATAAAGGGGGCCTAGAAACATGACATGGTAGGAGGAAAACTGGACCAAGTTCG